TTATATTGACCTTCCAGCCGTGCCTGGCTAACAATACAGAAGTTGCAATGATGCGGCACATGTACACTTGTGTTACCGTATCCAATAACATATAACTGATCTTTAGTCTTTACAAAGTGGCCTGTCTTGGCTATGTTTTAGTATTTTGTAATACAGTCACATTTCAACTATTATACATTATATATGTATGTACATTATTTCTATTTACAAATAAGCTATTAAACTTATTTTTCTTAAAACATAAAAGAGTAAAGCATAGAATTAAAGCAAACAATTATCTCTTCTAGTTTCGACCTTTGTACTTGTTTGCCATTTGTCGTAGATTGCTAAATTTCCCACACAGAGAATGTAAACAATTTTTTTTAGGTTTTATATATACATTTTAAATAACCAAAAAATCATAAATTACTATACCGATACCATACAATTCCACTATAATTTATCAAGCGTAGTAACTAAGCTATATTTGGGTCTAAAAATATTTCTAAAAAAACTTTCGAGCTCACTAAAGACTTAACTCATTGTTTGAAATCTTGTGTGAAAAGAATGAAATTAGCATAATAACACTTCAAAATGGCTGAAAAAACCATTAGGGGGACATTCTAAGCATTTAATTCGTTATTCATGTCATATATAGAAGTAAGTGCATATAAGGGACCATTTCCAAAAAGGAAAAGAGGTGGATGGGGGGGGGCACTGTGTTTGATTAAGTACAAGAGCGATATCTTAGCAAATAAAAAAGATAAGATGTTCTTATTTTATATTCTATCTTGTTAATATCAGTAGTTTGAGTTCCTAATTCATACAAACTGTAGATTTTGTATTTTAACATCACAAACATCTAATTTGAACCAGTGCTGCATTCAACATACCACATGACACACAAAAATCAATATTCAATATTTTTTAAATATTTACGTTTAAAATAAGAAATTAACTAAGGTATAATACTAATATTTGAATTATAATCTACAATTTGATACCAAACTTATTTACGTACACTCATAAAATAAAATTTTGAATGCAAGTCATGTGGCCTTTGACACATGACCCTTCAATATAGGGTTGATAGGGATAGAGGGGAGGGGGAGTGGCTTTATATGTAAAATGCGAGTTACATCCTTCAGTTGAACTTGAAGATATGAAAGATAATAGCAAGAAGATTGAATCTATTTGGGTTTCTATTAGTGGATGTAAAGGGAAAAGGCTTTTAGTTGGAATTTGTTACAGACCACCAAATGATACTGATGAAATTAGTGAGAAACTTTACAATGAAATTAAGATTTCAGCTACTAGTAAAATCATATTTATGGGTGATTTTAATTTCAGGCATATAGATTGGGAAAAGCTAGAGTCAAACCCTGATGGAGAAAGGATTTTGGAAACTGTTTAAAATGACATTTTCACCAATTAGTCAGGGATCCTACTAGAAACAATGCTATTTTAGATTTATTGTTAACATCTGGGTGAAAATGATCACTGCTCTGTTAAGTTCAATGTTTTACTGCATATGAAGATAGGGAATAATGATATTTTGGTTAAAAATTTCAAAAAAGCAAATTTTAAAGAGATGCAACAAGAATTATCTGTTGTGAATTGGGCAGCCGAGTTATTTGGAGACACTGATCAGATGTGGAAAATTTCTAAATGTTCAAAGTGAACATATTCCTTATAGAAAGAAAAGGGTAGCTGCAAGTAAAAATCCAGGTTGGCTAACAAGGACTATAAGAGATAAAGTTAAATAAAAGCATAAGAAATTTAAATTGACTGGTATGACAGGAGATTTACAAGATTATTATAGAAGATCAAGAAAGTTGGTGAAACAGGAAATTAGGACATCAAAAAGGATGTATGAGGAAAGGTTGGCTGAAAATGTAAATATTAAGAGCAAGGATTTTTTTAAATACATAGGATAAACAAAATGTTAGGATGGGGTTACGACCCTTGAAGGATGATGAAGGATGGCTCATATCTGATGATTATGAGATGGCTGGTTTATTAAATTTTGGTTTTTCTAAGTTTTTACTAATGAAGATTTCAAGAGTATTCCACATCTTGAACAGTTGGTAGATGGAAACAAGACTGAAGATGACTGCATTAATTTTGAGCTGGTTAAAAAAAAATTGGAGAGTTTAAAGAGTGATAAGGCTCCTGGGTCAGATATTTCCTCAAGGGTTTTGAAGGAGG